AGAAAAGTGCTTCTAGCCCCACTAACTAGATCTTAAGATTTGCTGAGGTTCTAAGACAGAAAAAGAATTACACATTAAGTGCAGCCTGGCAAAAATTGTGAATTTAAGACCTGATTATGAAATCAATGGAGGAGAAAATATTCTGTACCAGGTAAAAACAAGATACCACTCTAATAATATACAAAGAATATGGGAGAGAAAGAGCAGATCTAGCAAAAGAATGTAGACACCTTTCTCAAGATTAGAAATCACTGCAGAATGCAGGGTAGGAATGTCTAAAAAAAAAAATGTTTCCTTCCCATCAACCGCGATAAAACAGAACCCATGCCATTAGACTTGAGGATGGAGTGCTAAAAGTGACAGAAAAAGAGGAGGAGGGAAAAGTGGGATTTGAAGGAAAGGAAGATATTTGAGAAATCTGTTCCAATTACATATCAGCCAAGTAGCAAAACTTATTAGAATGACCCTACAGGGGAACACAAGTTTAATCCACCACAATTTTGTTAGGGGAGGCCGGGTACAGTTACACAAAAGAGTAAATGATCGATTCCCAGAAATATTCTATTAAAAGTGAAATCAGTGATGTGGCCAGCAAGGGGTACTAGTGAACCCAGAAAAACTACACGTTGAGTGCAGGCAAGGCTGGCAGGGGAGGTGGATTTCAAATAGCACCTGCATGATGAGGCAGAAAAAGAATCCCTCTGGACTTGGAGGGAGAAACAACAGGGCAGGGATGAGAATCACTGGGTGGGTCCATCTGTCTGTGGGATGTGGGGAGGAAACAGGAGATGAAAAGCTGCTGGAAAGGCAAGTTGAAGGAGACTGTGGAAATCTGTGAATTTCAGGCCACAGAGTCAAAATTTTGTTCTGTGGAAAATAGGGCTCTACAGAAGTTTCTGAGCAGGAGAGACACAATAAAATCATTCTAAGAAAAATTAACCTGACGTGTATTGAATGGACTAGTGCATATGGAGATTAAAAATGTAGGCCTAAGATGAATTCCAGAAGCAGCCTAGTTAACTTATGTGTATTCCTCGAGTGCAAACTCTGAAGATCAACATCTAGAAAGAAACAGTATTTGAATAAGAGTGCAGACTCTGGAGCCAGACTGCCAGAGCTCAAATCCTGGCTCTGCCACTTGCTGGCTGAATGGCCACAGGCAAATTACTCAGCTCTTTCTGGTTCAGTTTCCTCACCCATACAAAGGGGGTAAAAACTGAACATACCTCATGGATTCCAGTGAGGATGGAATGAGCTAACACACATAAAGCACTTACCGTGCCTGGCACATGGAACGCCTAGGCTACATGTGAGCTGTCAGCAGTGGTAACACATTCACAGCTTATACTCCCAAGACAATGCAGAGCATATGAGGTGCTTCATACACATTTTTAATTAACTAACAATGTAAGAGTTTGTGCTAGAGAGGAGATAGTGAATATGGCAAAACATAGAGATACAGTTTTGAAGGAAGACTCCATGGGATTTAGTAGTTATCAGGACAAAAAAGGTAAGTCAAAGAGGGTGATGATATTTTATGCCTAGGTAAGTTACAATTTTAATAACATTAATAGATCAAAAACTTGAAATGACAGCTGGTTTGGCAAGAGAAGTAGTTGGGGAAAATTAAAATTAACCAAATAGCAAATGGGGACATTATTTCTCCTTCTTCCAAACAATACTAGCAATGCACCTACTTTACAGGTATGTTGCCAAAATTAAAACTTCAAAACCAAGAATTAAAATGAAAAAAATTTCCAGAGAAAATAGGGCTTCCCTGGTGGCACAGTGGTTGAGAGTCCGCCTGCCGCTGCAGGGGACACGGGTTCGTGCCCCGGTCTGGGAAGATCCCACATACCGCGGAGCGGCTGGGCCCGTGAGCCACGGCCGCTGGGCCTGCGCGTCCGGAGCCTGTGCTCCGCAGCGGGAGAGTCCACAAGAGTGAGATGCCCGTGTACCGCAAAAAAAAAAAAAAAAGAAAAAAAAAGAAAATAGCTAAGCATATATATTTAACACTGGCACTGCCTCTCATCTTTGTCTCTTTGGAAGTAACTTGTTTACCCTAAAACGTGATGAGCTGGTACAGCATGTCATGCAGTGACAAGAGCTCTTTATGAACACAGGATAAAGATGCAACTTCAGTTATGGCAGGAGCCGCCTCTCTCATTTCTAAAACTATATGGAAGTGATTTTTGGAAAGGTATTTACTTTTGTGTTCCAGAAATCACATCTTTACAAACAGTTGTTACACTGATGACAGAACAATTATTTTCCCATGGAGCCTAATATCCCAAATTAGTACTGTTTTTAAAAGGACACATGTTTCAAATGTAGTTACCTACAGAGAAGCCTCCCTAAAACTGGTTCAGTAGCACAGGCCCAAAAACTAGATGACAACTGATAATAAAGTGCTTAACAATATGAATTTAAGCAAAAGGTCCCAGTGTAGTCTTTAGACACTCCTTATAGTGCCTGGATAAGGGGACGGGGTGTAGGTAAGGTGGGGGAGTATTTACTTAAGCACTTAGCTACTGATGAAAAGAAAACTTAGTATTCCATAAATCCAAAATCAAAACACTCCAAAATGCAGATTTCCAAAGTGTATTTATATAAGATGTATTTGAATAAAGATAAAAGACTTCAAGAACACAGATCACTTTGGACCGGGCAGCCTTCACGAGCCCTGTGCCTCATTCAGATATAGAAACCCCACACCCGCTTCAGATCTAGTATTATCCATATTTACAGAACCTGTGAGAGATGACCTCAGAGTCCCTTATTAAAACAAAGTCGGCATCTAAACCGAACTTCGACCTACCGCCTGCCCTCCAGAATCAATATAATTTTACAGGTTTATGAACATGAGCGTGGCCTTTTCAGGACAAAAGTCAAGTGTTAGAACATGGGAAAACAGTTTCATCCTGGGGTAAGAAAAAGAACAAATGAACTGGGCTTCCCTGGTGGCGCAGTGGTTGAGAGTCCGCCTGCCGATGCAGGGGACACGGGTTCGTGCCCTGATCCGGGAGGATCCCACATGCCGCGGAGCGGCTGGGCCCGTGAGCCATGGCCGCTGAGCCTGCGCGTCCAGAGCCTGTGCTCCGCAACGGGAGAGGCCACAACAGTGAGAGGCCCGCGTACTGCAAAAAAAAAAGAACAAATGAACTGATAATATAATTTACCTGTGTGGTGACCATGACTATCTTCAAAATCTGCAAACCCATTTTCCACGGAATCTGTTGTCTGGCTCGGAATTTTTCACAAGGGTTCATGAAGTAAAACTTCAGGTCTTCTCTCAGACATTCTTCTGTCACCTCAGAATCAAGATGAGCCATTGCATCTCTGCCAAAGAAGATTAATTTTTAAATACGCAAAAGAGCCTGTCCATCAGAAAGCTCCTGAATAATACTTTCCATTCACATGCTTTACCCATTCTTACAAACAAAACTCTCTCCAGCCAGTGAAGTCCTTTTCACTTTAGAAATCTGAAAATGATTCAGGACCTTCTATCACCTGCCTTTACATATAGCTACCCATCTTGTTCCAAGTGGCCATTATCAAAATTATAAAAATAGGATTTTATTTGCAAGACTTGTCAAGTCCTACATCCTAACAGATAGCATTCACTTGTCACTGGAGTATTAACAAAAACTAGGTGTGATACTTTTGTGATATGCTAGGTGTGAAATCACAGAAATTTAGTACAGACTAATGGAATTAAATTGTTACGGAAATAGAGAATCTCTGTTCTGTAACTCTCTGTTCTATAATCCTTGAAAGAAGGATTATGTCTCTTTTTTTTTTTTTGCACGATATATCAGTGATTATAAGATCCCAAATTATAAATATCTTTAAAGTTAAAATAGCATCTCTCTATTTATGCCCAATCATATAATTGTGTCATCCTATATATTAGCAAAATTTTGCTTTTACTATTTCAAGGACTCTGGACTCAGAAATGGGCACATGACTCAAGCTAGGCCAAAAAGAACCAATGAAATGTGGTCACAAGTCTGTAATTATAACCAATGGAAGAGATGTGGTCTTTCCCCTAAGTAGTCCCCAAAATGGGGCGTGCAAAACAATCCACTAGGAGAATAGAAAATATTAGTACTTCTTTATCTTAAAAACAAACGAACAGAAAAATGAGCTCTGCTAATAATATAACATATAAAATAACAGTGGTATATAGTAGCATATAATTTATAAATAATATATACACATTGGGGATATGTGCTTAACTTTTACTGTTGAATGCATAATCAGCAAAGTTTGGGGATCACAGACTTAAAGCATAGGCTGAGTCTAGAATTCCTGGAAGTCATCTCACCATCTTGCCTGGAAGCCAGCATAGGAGAGCTTGCCAAAGAGTGGAGCTAACACAGAAGAACAGCTAAGATTGCCTAATGACAAGGTTTGAGTTCCTGGAGCTAGCTGTGCCTGAAGCCATGATTCCAAGACTTTCAAGTTGAGCCAATAAACACTCTTTGGACCTTAAGCGTGTTTTAAGTTTGATTTCTGTTTCTTGAAACAGGAAGCATCTTGATGGTAAGTTTAATGAATAAACTCTATTAAGTTTAGCCGATCATTCAAGTTACTCATTTCTTAGAAAGTTTTTATAATTGGGGGTCATTCTTAGGGATGTTTTCACCTAAAATATCTTAATGACATTTTTATATTGACTTAGGACCTATGTTATTTAGCTTGACTAACAAATTTAAAAGAAGCTCAAAAAAAAAATAAAAATAGAGAGACTATATTAAGGCTTATTTTAAGACTTTTTAAGCCTTATACTCAGTTGTTAATCATTTTCTATTTTTAAGTTAATATGTAGACCTCCTATTTCCAGAATTAGTAGGCCAGGTTATTTTGCTGGAAAGAAGAAGGGAGAGTAGGAAGGAGGCAGGGAGGGAGGGAGGGAGAGGGAAAGGAAGGGAAGGACCCATACTGAGAAATGATGGTCACAACCCAGCCCTTTGAGCCTCTTGCCTGGGTGAGCCAGGGAATGTTAAACTGTGAGCTTGCTTGGTTCAGGGGGCTCCAGACTGGAATTGCCCTCGTCTCCTAGCAAACACATGCAGACCTCTCCAGACACTCATCCTAGGACTTGGGGAGCTCTAACAAATAACTTGTAAAACACGTTGACTAACAGGTACTAATACATACCAGGCCCACGAAGAAACCAAGTAGCATGAAGCAGTCAACTTCAGAAACAGGGCCAAGCATATCAGAATCAGACGCAGATTAGAAAACAACCATGCTTACCATATTTAAAGACATATAGGTAAAAATATCTATAAGAAAACCTTGGGAAAAACAAAAAAAAATGAAAAATCAATGACCAAAATGAGTCCCATTTCAAAAGAATAAGAAGACTTTTTAAATGTGTTTGCCCTGCAGCTGCTATAGTTACCTCCTGATTTGATCTAACCAACTTACTGAACACTTCCTGTGCTGAGCGATTTTGCTGGGTGCTCGGGACACAAAGCTGAATAGATGCTCAGCATCCAGCTGCAGAGACAGACTTGTGAGTGCAAATTTACAAGTTATCAAATAGCTCAGTGGCTACTGTACCATAAGTATACAAAGTATTATGGAAGCAGGGGTCTGCCTCTGGGGAGACAGGTTCAGAGCCAGACGGGGAATCCCGTAACATGTCCTAATACACGGAGTGGCAGGTGCTACGGAGCACTTGATGAAGAGCATTGATCAAAGGAGGCATTTCCAAGAAGAAGGTGACATCTTATCTGTGCCTAAGAGCCACATCCTCCAATATGAACCTTCAGACCCCTGAGAACATGCCTGTGGAAGCTTCGCGGGCATGTTTGAGTGATACCAAATTCAGCGTTAACCACCATCACCTCAGTGGATCTGGGTTGCTAATTTATTCATCCTGGTGATTCACAATGTCTTTTCATTTAGTAAAATAAAAAGGGTATCTGAAAAGTTGTGATAGAACCCTGAGAATAAAGGCACGGAAACTCCTCCCCCCAACATACCCTCAGTCTCTAGTGTAACACTGTACTGAAGAAAGAGGAGGTTGTCCTGGAAAACAGTGGTGTGAAACACGGGGTAGTAGGCGGTCAAGTGCTTGGTGAACACCTTGTGAGCCAAGCTCTGACAGAGACATTTTCCTGCCTTCCAGGAGCTCACTCCAGTGGAAGGGAGAGATGTGAAGAGATAAAAGTATAATAAAATGTGTCAAGTGATACAATTGAAGTATGCTTTGAGGGCCCTGGAACAAAGAGAAGGGAGTTGATGCAGCCCAATTGCTCCAAGAGGCTTCAAGTAATTCTTCCAGCTGCTGGTTTCCTCAACTAATATGGCCACTCAATGTTCAGGAAATGATAACTTCTCTTAATATTACCCTAAGAAACCTGATTAAGAAGGTGAGTCTCGACCAAGAAAAAAAAAGGCAAAGTAGCAGATAATGCACATGGGGATCACTCACTGTATTAAATTATTTACACTAATTATTTAAAAACCTCCCAAAGTTTTTCACTTAGGTATTTAGAGAACAGCTGCAGTACTCATACCACTGTGAAGAATAAAAAGAAAAATGAAAAAGCTAGCATGAAAACCTTTCCCCTAAAGCGTGCAGGAGTCAATAGTTGAACTATAGGATGGTACTAGTCAAATGTGATCAACTGATGATACAATGATAAAAATACAGAAAAAATATTAATGATATTTTGGTTCAAAAATTCTGGTATCTCAAGGAAAATGCAAATGTGTAAGCTTTCTAAACTCTACATTTCTGAAGGCACTTTACTGCCCCACTCTTCTCAATTTGCGGGTTTTCCCTAGTTCCCCAGTAGATGAAGGGTATTAAACATGGGCATGCACAGGTGCACACACAACCACACATCTTACCACTATATCAAAAATACAACAGTGCCGGAAAAAAAAAAAAATGCCAAGTGAAAAGAGGGAACACTAAAAAACAAAAGAGAGACAGGACAATATCATAAGACTAAAACATTAAAACATTCCTGCATTTGACACATGCTTATCCAACACCTTCTAGGGCTGAGCACCGGGATGGATGTTTGGTACAGGAGGCTTGAAAGCTTCAATCACAACTTGGTAAGCAAGAATTAGATCAGCAGGAGGAATACTGCAACTTCCATCAAAAACGATGAAAATCACCAACAGGTTTAGAAAAGGACAGAGAGTTGCTAACTGGTGGGAACACAACCAGGAGAAGTGACTGCACCATAAAAACATTTAAGAAACAGAAATCCATGAAGGTCTAAGTTACACTGATCCATCAATTGCAGGGCAGTCACGCAACTGAAATTGCAGGAAATAAATAAGAGCAATCACGACTCTTATGGATTATTTTTGTTTCACGAAACCATAGGAAACATAGATTTGTATAAGCTTAATAAACGGCACCAATACCCAAATATCAAAGGAAAAAAACACAGTATTTGTAAGAGTGAAAACAAGATCTGGAATAGAATGGGAAGTCATCCACACAGTCGGCTAAATAAAAGCTAGAGAAGCTGGACTTAGGAAGGAAGCCTGACACTGGTACTGTGGGGAGAAGTCAGGAAGGAAGCCCATCAGAGCTACCATCAGTTATTAAGAAAATCTACTCTTTGCCTAGATAATCAGGACTGTGTGATGTCAGCTAATTTTAAGGCTATCATATGACCAAAGGGCAACTCCAGCTTTATCAAGTCAATGACCAAAAGAGTCTATGGAAGCTTGAAGTTTTGAAAAAAGCAAAGCTGAACAAATTACTGGCAATTCTTAACCTCAAGGAACTTGTGAAGGTTTTTGACCTTTGCCTCAGAAAAATGCACACATCAGTTTCAGTGATGGTACCTTGTTCCCATTAGCACGATCTACTTAGCAAATAAGCTAACCAACTCAGACTGCTACTGATTTTCACCTTGTATGACCCTTACCCTACTCAAAAAGAGGGATGAAAGTTTGTTTTCTACTGCAGTGGCCTCCAAAGTGGGGTGCGGGCACACAAGTCGGGTATGCAAGACCATCCAATGGGATGTCAGAAGACAGGGCTAGGGCTTCTAATTGTACTAACCAAGCAAAAGTAAGTTAAGGTTTACAAGTTTCAATGTATGAATTATACACCTAACATACCCTCATGTGGTCAGAAAGCCAGATGCCTATATTTCGATTAGGTGCACAAGGCAATCTGGGGGAAGAGCGCAAGTTCCCAAAGTACGGTGCCCTCATTGCTTTTCAGCAGATTCCCACCACTTAGGGTTTACATAGGCCCATTTAAGCATTTGTTAGAGTATATTATCCACTTTAGCTAACCCTCACGAAATGGACATAAAGATTCTTGCAAAACATTAGACTCCTTGTAA